GACTTTTAGAATTGGAAACTCAAGAGCCCCACAGTCTGTTTCAGCAAGCTCTCCAGATGGTTCTGATGCATGCCAAACTTTGAGACTTTTGCTGAATGTCTTTCAGCTTGACAGAGACAACATGGACTGCCTTACAAAATTCATTTAATTATATATATTATAATGTCACAGGTAGTAATTTGGAATTGGATTGAATGTTCGTAAATGGTTTAACATGATAACTGTTGAGTACTATACTTTAAGTAATTATCTAAGACATTTGTTTGGTTGCTATTTTTAAGCCACTCCTAAGAGTTAATAATGTTGCTAGGTGCCAGTGGCTCACACCTGTTATCCTAGTTATTTAGGAAGCTGAGATTGGAAGATCACAGTTCAAAGCCAGCCCAGGCAAGAAAGTCTGTGAGACTCTTGATCTCCAGTTAACCACCAGAAGCTAAAAGTGGATCTGTAGCTCAAGTAGTAGAATGGTAGCCTTGAGTTACAAAGTGAAGGGATAGCACCCAGGCCTAGAATTCAAGCCTTAGTAACAGTGTGTGTGTGTCTGCATAACATACGCACGCATACACACACATACACAAAATCAACAGTTATACATGTGTACATTACATTTTCTACCTTTCATAAGGAAGAGTTAAAGGAATTGATTCAGTTCTTATGTTTACAAAATTTACAAACTAAAGTAGAATGAAAGACAGACTTTTATAAACACAAAAGGCAAACATGTAAACCTGTTTTCGGGGTTAGGTATATTTCTGTGATTGGTGAATATATTATACCATGACAGCCAAAGTTGGGTTTACTTATGGTTTAAACCTGGAGTCGAATAGATTCTCTGTTTTTAGGAAACTAACTCTCCTATGTTATTTCTCATGACTTTTGGAAAATAGTTTAGGTTCAGTTAAGCTACCTATTTAAGTGATACAGAATTTCTCTGGCTTTAGGGCTGGGAAATTGGCTCAGTGGTAGAGCACTTGCCTTGCATGCCTGAGGCCCTGGGTTCGATTCCTCAGCACCACATAAGCGAAAAGAAAAAAGCAGGAAGTGGCTCTGTGGCTCAAGTGGTAGGGAACTAGCCTTGAGCTGATGAGCTGAGGGACAGTTCTCAGGCCCAGAGTTCAGGCCCCACAACTGGACCAAAAAAAAACAAAACAAAACAACAACAAAAAAGAATTTCTCTGGCTTTGAAAGAATAAGAGATAAATTAGAACTAAACTCTGTTTTTCAGGTGCTTTAAAAGCTTTTTAAAGCAGTTCTGAAAACAGAAATTGAGTTGCACTTTAGAAGCATAGAATCAACCTTAACCTAGAATTAAAGTTACTCAACATACTAGTAGTTGAATTAGCAATAACTTCTAACATAAATTTAAATTGGCAGAAACAAAAGTTGTTTGTGAAGTGAAACAGCCCTTATTTCTATGGCAAGAGTAGTTGAAGTGTTAGAATTTCCTTAGGAAGGTACGAACAAAATAGAAATCAGATTGACTGTCAGGATTTATAGCCCAAGATACTTGCCTTTATGGTCACAAAAGCTCAAAGCAAAAGTTTTTTTAATTGGATCCCTTTGTAGCACAGAATAGTATCTCTGATATTGGAATTTTACTGGATAATGCTCCTCCTCAATGTCAGTCTCATAGTCCCACCCACTTAAATTTTCTGAAAGCCTTTTTAAGCCTCTAGTGCTTTTTTACTCTTGACTTTTTTATTTTTATTTTTATTTTTTGAGACAGTTCTGATACCAGCCTAGGCTAGCTGGAAAACTGGAAAACCCAAACTGTCTTCAGATTCCTGCCTCTCTTATCTCTGCCTTCTGGCATTACAGGAATGCACCATTATGCTCAGTATGACTTCTTTTTCTGAATTAATTCTTTTGTTAGCTTTTCTATTCTTTTCCTTTCTCCTTTCCTTCTCTCCCTCCTCTACTCACTTACTCATTCCCTCCCTTCCTTCTTCCCTTCCTCCCTTCTTTCCTTTCCTTGCTGGTTCGTGGGCTTGAACTCTGGGACTTGGACTCACCAGGCTTATTTGTCCAAGGCTGATGTTCTAGAGCCACATCCTCAGCTCAGTGCTTTTGTTGGTCACTTGGAAATGGAGTTTTGAGGACTTTGCTGCCCTAGCAGCAATCCGTGATGCAAGGGGCCGATTTCTGAAGACACATCACTGATCCTCTATATCTCAGTTTCTTGAATAGCTAGGATTACAAAAATGAACCACCAGCACCCAGCTTATTTTTTAAAAATACTTCTTGAATAAGCATTTAGGGACATTCTAAGTGGGTTTTTGTCCTGTGGTTTTTCTCAGCATTGGGCTGTTTTCACTTGATTTTATATTTGTTTAGTTCCTTTTTCTATCAACTAATAAACCATCATAATTCCATAAAAATATTTGAAATGATTGAAATCAGTGCTTTTGTTCCTTAAGACTATTATTTCATGCATCTTCTCAGCTTTATTCATGTATATCAAAACTTTAAAAGATAGGAGACACTTGTAGCAGAAACTGTAAAACACCTGTGAGAGTGTACATTCCAGTAGGTATGTTATGGTTCATAATTTTGGAAGCAAGTACATTTTTCCCTTAAGTGCAAAGGTATTTCTCTTAAGAATATGATTTCTCATCAGGAAAGCAACTCCTTTTGTAATAGCTCCACAAAAAATAAAACACCTAGGAATTAACTAAAGAAGTGAAGGACCTCTATGATGAAAACTTTAAAAACCTGAAAAAGGAAATCAAAGCAGAACTTAGGAAATGGAAAAACCTCCCATGCTTCTGGATTGAAAGGATCAACATTGTGAAAATGGCAATACTTCCCAAGGCTATCTACAAATTCAATGCGATACCTATCAATATTCCAACCTCATTCTTCAATGAAATAGAAGAAGCAATCCAGAAATTCATATGGAACAGTAAAAACCCAAATAGTAAAAACAATCCTTAACAGAAAGAACAGTGCTGGAGGAATATCAATACCAAATTTCAAACTCTACTACAAAGCCATAGTAATCAAAACAGCTTGGTACTGGCACAAGAACAGACCTCAGGACCAATGGAATAGAATTGAAAACCCAGAAATGAACCCACAGACCTATAGCCACCTAATCTTCTATAAGGGACCTAAAAAAATAGAATGGAAGAAAGACCGCCTCTTCAGTAAATAGTGCTGGCAAAATTGGTAAATCATCTGTAGAAAACTAAAGCTAGATCCTTATTTATCACCCTGCACCAGAATCAACTCCAAATGGATCAAAGACCTTGAAGTCAAAGCAGACACTCTGAAAACATTACAGGATGGAATAGAAGAAACCCTAGGTTTCCTGGCACAGGCCAAAATTTTCTTAATAGAGACCCAGAAACCCAACAAATCAAAGAAACGTTGGACAAATGGGACTGTGAAGCTACAGAGCTTCTGCATGGCAAAGGACATAGCTAGCAAGATCAGTAGAAAGCCCACAGATTGGGAGATCTTCACTAGCCATAAAACGGATAAGAGTCTCATATCTAAAATATACTTGGAACTCAAAACATTAAATCCCCCAACAACAAATCCTCAAAGAAACACCTGCCTGATAAATAAGTGGGCTAAAGACTTAAAAGAGAAACTTCTCTGAAGAGGAAATAAAAATGGCCAATAGACACATGAAGAGATGCTCAACCTTTCTAGCCATAAAAGAAATGCAAATCAAAACAACATTGAGAATCCACCTCACCCCAGTTAGAATGGCTATAATAAAGAACTCTTAATAACAGCAGATGCTGGAGGAGATGTGGCCAGAAGGGAACTTACTACACTGTTGGTGGGAGTGTAAACTTGTTTAACCACTTTGGAAAGCAGTATGGAGGTTTCTCAAAAGATTCCACATAGAGCTCCCCTATGACCCAGCAATCCCACTTTTGGGCATTTACCCAAATGATCACAAACAAGGTCATACCAAAGCTACCAGCACGACCATGTTTATCACAGCATTATTTTTACAATAGCAAAGATATGGAACCAACCCAGATGCCCTTCAGTAGATGAATGGATCAAGAAAATGAGGTATAGATAATGGAATTCTGTGCCTCCATCAGAAAGAATAACATAGCCCAAATGGAAAGACTTGGAAAAAATTATATTAAGTGAAGTAAGCCAGGTGCAAAGAAACATAGGTCCCATGGTTTCCCTTATTTGCAATAACTAGTATATGTCTGGGACAAGCAGAGAAGGTCAAAAGCTATGTACATATGACCAGATAAGATGATGTAAAGCCCCAAGATAGGGACACAAGTAGTTTTTTTCTTTCTTGCTATTGTTTCTAGTGTATTTATAGTGTACCATGTGATTTTTATTTTTGTTGTTGTTGTTGCTTTGTATGTCCCTCCCCCATGGTATAACCCCTCTTTTCACTGTATTTTATCTATCTAATTTGGGGAGGGGAAGGGAAAAAAACAAAATGTTTAAATAGGGATACAGGTTGACCCATTATAACAATGAGATGTACAAGACACTATGTTGAAAAATGAACTTTACAATTTAGGTGGTAGGGGGAACAGGAGTGTAGTTGAGGAAGTAGGAGGGAAGGGAGGGTAGGGGAAAAACAAAGGAGGAGGCAACAATGCTTGATAAGAAATGTACTCATTACCTTGCTCATATAACTGTAACTTCTCTGTACAGTATTTTTACAATAAAAAACTTACTAAAAAAAGAAATTTTTTTAAAAAGGATATGATTTCTCAGCAGACATAGAGAATGACATAATTCAGTTGTTACCAGTTGTGACATTTGTGGAAAATGTTACCAACACTGGCCAACAGGCTTCACATGTATTTCTGGATATTTGTTTCCAAATCATTATCATTTTTAATGCAAAACTATGAATTAAGAGATCAGCTACAGTCCTTATTATTGGTTACTGATTATTGATTATTCTATTTTTCAACACTCAAAAGATACTTAAGGAAATACTTGTACTTGTCTTCAGAAATTAACCCCTTGCATTACTGATTGCTTGTACTTGTGACCCTTAGATTGTAGGGAATGGAAGTGAGCAGCAGCTGCAGAAAGAGCTAGCAGATGTACTGATGGATCCTCCCATGGACGACCAGCCAGGAGACAAGGAGCTTGTGGAAAGGTCACAACTAGATGGCGAAGGAGATGGGCCTCTTGCTAACCAACTCTCAGCTTCATCCACCATTAACCCTGTGCCATTAGTTGGGCTCCAGAAACCTGAGATGAGCCTGCCTGTGAAACCTGGACAAGGAGGTTAGGGTTGCTGCATTGCTTGCGTAATTGAAGGTTATTGTTTTTAATATTTTGGTGTCTGCCATGTGATTTGACTCCGAATAAGATAGGAATTATCTTGAATTATCTAAATTCTCTGGAAATTACAGATTCTACATTTAGGAAAATGTGTTTTATATACGTGTATGTGTGTATATATATATACATACATATGTAAATGCATATATATCATTCTGATTTTCCTTTTAACTGTATTTCAGTTACACTAAGGAAGGTATGGTAGTTAGATGACACTGAGAAGTGAATCTTCCCCCACCCCTCCATGGAGCTTTAAAGAGTTTTCCTAGACTAGCATCAGTGGCTCACACCTGTATTCATAGCTGTTCAGGAGGCTGAGATCTGAGGATCATGGTTTGAAGCCAGCGGGGGCTGGAAAGTCCATGAGACTCTTATTTACAGTTAACCACAAGAAATATACCAGAAGTGGAGCTATGGCTCAAGTGGTAGGGCACCAACCTTAAGCAAAAATGTTCAGGGACAGCACATAGACCCTGAGTCTTGAACTCAGGCTCTTGACCCATGACTAGGACCAAAAAAAAGTTTTCCCAGGAAAGAAGGAATTTGAATGCAGTGCTGCAGAAATTGAGAGACGATGCTTGGTGAATAGATGTTGGTTCCAGTAACTCTGTGAGTAATTGCTGCCAAGTTGGAAACGGGCATGTGCAAAACTAGACAGAAAAGTATAGTAAGAGAGAGAGAAAGAAAGGATTAGTTATAAAGCTTCATTTGAAAGGATGAGGTGATAGCAAGGATATTAAGTGAACACAATATAGTGGCTAAGATGGTAAATTAAAGAATTATAACTGTAGGTTCAGAAAGAAGACAGGATTGCCGAGAATGCTCAAATACTACATGTATATTTCAATTGAATTTAAGTTAGAAAGTCCAGTTGGAAGAGTTATAAAAGTGAATCAGGCCAGGTGCTGGTTGGTCACACCTGTAATCCTAGCTACTCAAGAAGCTGAGATCTGAGGATCACAGTTCAAAGCCAGCCCATGCAAGAAAGTCCATAAGACTCTTTTTTTTTTTCTTTTTTCTTTTTTAGTCGGTCTTGGGGCCTGAACTCTGGGCCTGGGCACTGTCCCTCAGCTCTTTAGCTCAAGGCTAGCGCTCTACCACTTGAGCCACAGCACCACTTCTGGGTTTTTCTGCTTATGTGGTACTGAGGACTTGAACTCAGGGCCTCATGCATACAAAGCAAGCACTCTACCACTGAGCCACCTTCCCAGCCCTCCATGAGACTCTTATCTCCAATAAACAACTAGAAAACTGGAAGTGGTAGAGCGCTAGCTTTGAGCTGAAGAGCTGAGGGACAGCACCCAGGCCCAGAGTTCAAGTTCCACTATCAACAACAACAAAAAAGAATCAGATCTGAATCTCGAGTGACTTTCAGGATTTGGAGTTAATTCTTAACTAATCTCCTAAACATTTTGCTGTTACTGTAGTGTAGGCTTTCTGGTTTCTGTGAGCAGTTTTTCTGAGCCTAAACATTACTTGAAGATTTTTATTTGCTTTTTATATCCAGACAAGATAAGAATGAAAAGAATCATCTCTAGTATTTGTTTCTTTCAGATTCTGAAGCATCAAGCCCTTTCACACCAGTGGCTGATGAGGACAGTGTGGTTTTCAGTAAACTAACCTATTTAGGCTGTGCCTCAGTTAATGCTCCAAGAAGTGAAGTAGAGGCCCTAAGAATGATGTCAATCTTAAGAAGTCAGTGTCAGATTTCACTGGACGTGACCCTGTCAGTGCCGAATGTATCTGAAGGAACTGTGAGGTGAGAGCAGCCTCTCGAAACGTATGTAAAATTCATATTAGATCTCTGATCTGTTTTACAAAGCAGCATTGGTCAGCAAAATGCATAATTATTTCATTCATTGAAAGCTTTCTTCATTTTCCAAGGATAATAACCTCATGAAAAATGGGATGTATACTCACCACGTACCAGTAGCTCACAACTAATCCTAGTTACTCAAGAGGCTGAGATCTGAGGATTACAGTTCAAAGCCAGCCTGAGCAGGAAAGTCCAGGAACTCCTATCTCATTAACCCTCCCTCCCCCACAAAAAAGCCAAAGGGAAGCTGTGGCTCAAGTGGTAGAGAGCTAGCTGTGAGCAAAAAAGCTAAGGGATACTGTCCAGGCCCTGCATTTATGGCCCAGGACCAGTACCAAAGAACCCCCCCCCCCCCAAAAAAAAAAAAAAAAAACAGGGAAACTCATTTGTCCTTGTTCTGTATATTCTCTACACCCAATCCAGTATAACACATTAGAGATTTAGTTTAGGGATAATTGAATACATTGACCATGATAGTCTGCCTAACTAATTTATATCTTACATATTCCCAGAGTAAAAATACTAGATTATGGGTCTGGGAAGGTGGCTCAGTGGTAGAGCGCTTGCCTTGCATGCAAGAGGCCCTGGGTTCGATTCCTAAGCACCACATGAGCAAAAAGAAAAAAAGCCAAAAGTGGCGCTGTGGCTTTAGTGGTAGAGTGCTAGCCTTGAGCTGAAGAGCTGAGGGACAGCACCCAGGCCCAGAGTTCAGGCCCCATGACCGGACCCAAAAAAGAACAAAAACAAAATACTAGATTGTCACACTATTTCAAAATAGAATTTCAGACTGAGTTTTGAAATTCCAAAATCCTATTGGTGTCAACCACTGGTGGTTTGCCCCTATAATCTTTTAGCTACTCAAGAGGCTCAGATTTGAGGATCACAGTTAGTGTCAGCCCAGGCAAGAAAGTCCATGAGACTCTTCTCCAATCAACTAGCAAAAAAACTGGAAGTAGAGTTGTGGCTCCAGTGTTAGAGCACTAGCCTTGAACAGAAAAAGCTAAGTGATAGCACTTAGTCTCTAAGTTCAAGCCCCATTACTAGCACACACAAAAAAGCAACAACGACCAACAAAACCTTGTTAAATGTTGGCTATTCCAGTGTTGTTGTTTTTTTTTTTCAAAGAAAACTGATACCCAGAGAAACTTTTAGAAAGGGCTATTGTTTGGCTGCTTATTGATATTTTTTATACAGATCTCCTTGCTTCCTCCAACCATAAGACCATATATGTAATTATGTAATTATTGTTTGAAAGATGTCTTGAGTTCTAACATGAATATAAGTTGGTAAATGTTCTACTCTTTTTATCTTTTTTATCTGAACAGACTCTTAGATCCTCAGACAAACATGGAAATAGCTAATTACCCTATCTACAAAATCCTCTTCTGTGTCAGAGGGCATGATGGAACTCCTGAGAGTGACTGTTTTGCTTTCACTGAAAGTCACTACAATGCAGAACTCTTCAGAATACACGTCTTCCGGTGTGAGATACAAGAAGCTGTGAGTCCTTAAGAGAAAAATTTCACCTTGACCCCATGGCTGCTAGGAATATCAGAGGAGAGCAGTTGGATATTTCTTGATTGGGTTAGATCTGCATCTTCATTCCAACAGTGGGTTAGACCTGCATCTTCATTCCAGCAGTGCCTTTTGCAGACTATTCTTTTTTTTTTAATTTTATTTTATTTTATTTGTGAACATACTGTACAGAGGAGTTACAATTACGTGGGCAGGATAATGCGTACATTTCTTACCAAGCATTGCAGCCTCCTCCTTTGTTTACCCTTCACATCCCTTCCCAGCCTCCCCCCTCCCCCCCAATCCCAATCCTTCTCCTTCCCCCCCCCCCCCCCCCCCCCCCCCCCCCCGCACTGACGTTGTAAAGCTAGTTGTACTTCTCATTGTTGTAACAGGTCCACCTATATCCTTAAACAACTGGTTTTTCCCCCTCTCCTCCACAAGTTATACTGACATCAAATATAGTGAAAGCAGGGGTTATACTGTGGGGGAGGGATATACAAAGCAACAAAGAAATAATCTTAAAAATGCGTTAGAAACACATGCATGAAAGAAAAAAACAATAAAATACACATCTAAGGATTCATTTTCCTGACATCACATTATCTGACCTTTTCCGCTTGACTCATACATATACTATATATTGCAAATAAGGGAAACCATGGGACCTATGTTTCTTTGGGCCTGGCTTACTTCACTTAATATAATTTTTTCCAAGCTTTTCCATTTCCTAACAAATGGGGCAATGTCATTCTTTCTGATGGAGGCATAGAATTCCATTGTGTATATATACCACATTTTCTTGATCCACTCATCTACTGAGGGGCATCTGGGTTGGTTCCATATCTTAGCTATGGTAAATAATGCTGCAATAAACATTGTTGTGCTGGTAGCTTTAGTGTGGTCTTGTTTGTAAACATTTGGGTAAATGCCCAAAAGTGGGATTGCTGGGTCATAGGGGAGTTCTATGTGAAGTCTTTTGAGGAACCTCCATACTGCTTTCCAAAGTGGTTGAACAAGTTTACATTCCCACCAACAATGAAGTAAGGTTCCTTTCTGTCCACATCCCCTCCAGCATCTGTTGTTGTTAGAGTTCTTGATTTTTGCCGTTCTAACTGGAGTGAGGTGATATCTCAATGTTGTTTTGATTTGCATTTCTTTTATAGCTAGGGATGTTGAACATTTCTTCATGTGTCTATTGGCCATCCTTCTTTCTTCTTCAGAGAAGTTTCTCTTTAAGTCTTTCGCCCACTTATTTATTGGGCAGTTGTTTCTTTGAGGATTTGTTGTTGGGGGGTTTAATTTTTTGAGTTCCAAGTATATTTTAGATATAAGACCCTTGTCTGTTGTATGGCTAGTAAAGATCTTCTCCCAATCCGTGGGCTTTCTATTGATCTTGCTAGCTATGTCTTTTGCCCTGCAGAACCTCTACAACTTTATGCAATCCCATTTGTCCAACCTTTCTTTGATTTGTTTTGTTTCCGGGTCTCTATTCAGAAAATTTCGGCCTGAGCCAAGGGACCTAGGGTTTCTCCTATTCCATCCAGTAATGTTTTCAGAGTGTCTGCTTTGAGTTCAAGGTCTTTGATCCATTTGGAGTTGATTCTGGTGCAGGGTGATATATAAGGATCTAGCTTAAGTTTTCTACATGTAGTTAACCAATTTTGCCAGCACTATTTACTGAAGAGGTTGTCTTTCTTCCATTCTGTTGTTTTAGCTCCCTTATCGAAGATTAGATGGCTATAGGTCTGTAGGTTCATTTCTGGGTTTTCAATTCTATTTCATTGGTCCTGAGGTCTGTTCTTATGCCAATACCAAGCTGTTTTGATTACTATGGCTTTATAGTAGAGTTTGAAGTTTGGTATTGATATTCCTCCAGCCGTGTTCTTTCCATTGAGGAGTGTTTTTGCTATTCGGGGTCTTTTATTGTTCCATATGAATTTTTGGATTGCCTCTTCTATTTCCTTGAAGAATGAGGTTGGAATTTTGATAGGTATTGCGTTGAATTTGTAGATAGCCTTGGGAAGTATTGCCATTTTCACGATGTTAATCTTTCCAATCCAGGAGCATGGGAGGTTTTGCCATTTTTTAAGTTCTGTGTTGATTTCCTTTTTTAAGATTTTAAAGTTTTCATCATAGAGGTCCTTCACTTCTTTAGTTAAGTTAATTCCTAGGTATTTTATTTTTTGTGGGCCTATTACAAATGGAGTTGCTTTCCTAATTTCAGCCACACTTTCCTCATTGTTGGCATACAGAAAAGCCATTGATTTTTGGGGGTTAATTTTATAACCTGCTACTTTGCCAAAGTTTTGAATCAGCTTGAGTAATTTGGGAGTGGAGTCTATGGGATTCTTTAAATACAAGATCATGTCATCTGCAAAGAGGGAGAGTGTTATTTCTTCTTTCCCTATTTGGATCCCCTTTATGTCTGCATCTTGTCTTATTGCTGTAGCTAGGCATTCTAATACTAGATTGAAGAGAAGTGGAGAGAGTGGGCATCCTTGTCTTGTTCCTGAATTAAGAGGAAATGGCTTTAGTTTTTCACCATTGAGTATAATGCTGGCTGTAGGTTTGTCATATACAGCCTTTATTGTATTGAGGAATGTTCCATGGATTCCTAATTTTTCCAAAACCTTCATCATAAAGGGGTGTTGGATCTTGTCGAATGCTTTTTCTGCATCTATTGAGATAACCATATGGTTCTTATTCTTGCTCCTGTTGATGTGATGAATAATATTAATTGATTTGCATATATAGAACCAGCTTTGCATCCCTGGAATGAATCCTGTTTGATCATGGTGTATGATTTTTTGGATGAATTGTTGAAGTCGATTGGCCAAAATTTTGTTGAGAAGTTTTGCATCAATGTTCATCAAAGAAATGGGTCTATAGTTCTCTTTCTTTGATGAGTCCCTGCCTGGTTTTGGGATGAGGGTTATGATGGCTTCATAGAATGTGTTCGGTAGTGAGCTTTCTCTTTCAATTTCATTGAAGAGTTGGAGGAGTATTGGTGTGAGCTCTGCTTTGAAGGCCTTGTAAAATTCCACTGTAAAACCATCTGGTCCTGGACTTTTCTTAGCTGGGAGGTCTCTTATTGCTGTTTCTATTTCAATGCTTGATATGAGCCTGTTAAGCTGGTTTAACTCATCTTGGTTTAGTTTTGGCATGTCAATATTTGCTAGGAAAAGGTCCATTTCTGTCAAGTTCTCAAACTTATTAGCATAAAGTTTTGAGAAGTATTCCCTTATAATGTTCTGAATCTTGGTTGTTTCCGTGGTGATGTTTCCATTCTCATCTCTGAGTTTATTAATTTGGGTGTGTTCTCTTCTTTTTCTGATAAGATTTGCTAAGGGTCTGTCAATTTTGTTAAGTTTTTCGAAGAACCAACTCTTTGTTTTGTTGATTCTTTCTATAGTTTTTTTGGATTCTAATTCATTTAATTCTGATTTAATTTTGATTATTTCTTTCCGTTTACTGGATTGGGGTTCATCTTGCTGCTCTTTTTCAAGGAGATTTAGATGTGTCATTAAATTGCTAGTTTCAGATCTCTCCAATTTGTTGATGTAGGAGCTCAGAGCTATAAATTTGCCTCTGAGTACTGCCTTTGCTGTGTCCCAGAGGAGCTGGTAATTTGTGTGTTCATTTTTGTTGAATAGCATGAATATTTGAATTTCCTTTCTAATCTCTTCCATGACCCACTCTTGATTCAGCAATGTGTTGTTCAGCCTCCATGTGATACCGGACTTTCTTTGGTGGCTTTTGGTGTTGAGTTCTAATTTTATTCCCTTGTGGTCAGAGAGAATGCAAGGTATAACTTCAATGTTTCTGAATTTAGACAAGTTTGCTTTGTGGCCTAAAATGTGGTCTATTTTAGAAAACGTTCCATGTGCTGCTGAGAAAAACCTGTATTCTGATGCTGCTGGGTGAAATGTTCAGTAGATGTCTGTTAAGTCTAGTTGATCTATGCAGCTGTTTAGATCTGCGGTTTCTCTGTTGAGTTTTTGCCGAGTTGATCTATCTAGTGGGGAGAGTGGTGTGTTAAAATCCCCAACAATTAACGTCTTTGGATCTATATGGGATTTGAGGGAAAGTAGTGTTTCTCTGATAAATTTGGGTGCTCCATTGTTTGGCGAATAGATATTTAGAATTGTAATATCCTCCTGAAGGAGAGATCCTTTAATTAGTATGTAGCGACCTTCTTTATCTCTTCTCACGAATTTTAATTTGAAGTCTATTTTATCTGATATTAGGATTGCAACTCCCGCCTGTTTATGGGGGCCGTTTGCTTGGTAGATTTTGTTCCAGCCTTTAACATTGAAAATGTGTTTGTTTTTACGGGCAAGATGTGACTCCTGCAGGCAGCACATAGAAGGGTCTTGTTTTTTAATCCAACTAGACAGTCTATGTTGCTTAATTGGAGAGTTCAGTCCGTTAACGTTAAGAGATAGGACTGAGAGGTATTTGGGAGTTCCTGCCATGTTATCCACCTTCTTGGGGGCTGCGAAAACTGGGTTCTTCCTATGGTTCTTGGATTCTCAGTTTGGGTACAGTTTCTTGGCCTTTGTTGCGGTCTTGTTGGTTTTCTATGTGTAGGACATCTTTAAGAATCTTTTGTAGGGCTGGTTTGGTGGAGATGTATTGTTTCAATTTTTCTTTGCTATGGAAGGTTTTTATTTGGCCTTCAGTTATGAAGGAGAGTTTAGCTGGGTACAGTATTCTTGGTTGATAGTTGTTTGTTTTTAGGGCATGGCATACATCATTCCAGGCTCTTCTTGCTTTGATTGTCTCTGCTGAGAAATCTGAGGTGATTCTAATTGGTTTCCCTTTATAGGTGATTACCCTTTTCTCCTTGACAGCTTTAAGTACCTTTTCCTTGGTCTGAGTTGATCCTGTGTGGATTATAATGTGATGGTGGGATGTCCTATTCTGGTCTGGTCTGTTTGGGGTTCTAAAAGCTTCTTGTATCTGAATAGGCCTATCTTTTTGTATGTTTGGGAAGTTCTCTGCTAGGATCCTGTTAAACAAATTTCCTAGACCATTAACTTCTGTTTCTAGGTGCTCTTCTACCCCCATTATCCTTAGATTAGGCCTTCTGATGGTGTCTTCCAAGTGTTGGATAGATCTATCATATTTCTTGGACTTGTCTTGATTGGTTGTATGTTCTTTCTCTATAATATCTAGGCTGTCTTCAATCCCTGAGATTCGATCTTCTGCATGGTCTAACCTGCTGTCAAGACTCTCTACTTTGTTTTTTATCTCTATTCCTTCTAATTGGTCAGCTTTGATGGCTTCAAGTTCTTTGTTGAAGCTCTGTTTTAGGTCTTGTATGAATTTCTTTACTTCCTTAATTTGGTGTTCAGTGTTTGTTCTCAAATCACTTAGTTGATTGGTTATGGTTTCTTTGGACTCCCATTCCTTCTGTTGGGTTCCATTCAGCATTCCCTTTGTGGTCTCCCTGACTTCCTTCAGCTCTTTGTTAATGGATTCCATGAATGCCTTTAGTGATCTTTGTGTATTCTCTACCTGGTCTCTCAATTCCTGAATTACTCTTTGATTAGCTTCCTCCTGTTTGTGGGATTCCTGCAGTTCTCTTTGAGTGTTCTCAGCCTGCTCATGCCATTCCTCCCTTTCTCTTTGAGTATTCTCAAGTTGTTCACGCAAATCCTGTATCAGTTTTTGAGTAGCTTTGCAGACTATTCTTACAGACCTAAACTTGTCAGGATTATTTTTTATTATTAAAAAAATATGTTCAGATAGTTTGTAACATTTAAGAAGTAATTTTTCACTTGTATTTCTAATGTATTTTTACTTTTTAAACTCCTCTTTGGTGATTTTACTTCTTGCTTTAGTTACTTAACAGATAATGTGCTAAAATAAATAAGTAGGAGAAAGGTGTTTATTCCTCAAAGTGGCTAACGTTCTAGCTTTAATAAAACTATTTCCTGTCTTAATGGTAACAGCCCCAATTTCTAATGTCTGGTTGTAGGTAAGCCGGATACTTTACAGCTTTGCCACTGCCTTCCGCCGCTCTGCCAAGCAGACCCCCCTTTCAGCCCCTGCAGCACCGCAGACTCCTGACAGTGACATCTTTACCTTCTCTGTGTCTTTAGAAATAAAAGAAGATGATGGGAAAGGTTACTTTAGGTAGGAATTTTATTCATTTTATTGAATTTATATTAGTTGTTATGCAATCTATGGTTTAAGAGAAACTCTTTATGTCAGTTTATATACGTTTAATACCATGGAGCAATTACTTGTGTGAGAAATGAATATAAGCAAATATACAGCAAGATATAAAGTATAAAGCATTAAAAAAAATCTTGTAGAAAACACGTTATTACCTTATTTTAGTCAAATTTACAGTAGCTATCTGAATGCTGGTAAGTATTGTGCCTCAAGTTATTTCCACTGGATTTGTAGCTGCTTTGTTTCCTTATTTTATTTTTGGTTGGTTTTTATGTAGACATCTTTAAGCTTTTGACAAGTATTCCATTGAACACAGTTGAAGAATCCGCCTTAGGGCTTCCACATAGATTTAGAAATAGCTGGTTATGATTTTTAAGTAAAATGATAATTCTTTGAGATGTATGAAGAACTCTGGAATAAAAATCAAAATGTAAATTTAATTATTACTATTATTAACAATGGTCCCTTTCCCAAATTTCTTTACATCTTCTGGCAGTAGTTTCCTTATTTATTGAATGCTGTGGCTACACTCTAAAGTCCTTCTTGAAGTAAGGTTTTATAGTTGCAAATGACTGAGCTATTTTCTTTATATAGGTCATATCATTAAATGGGTGATCAAAAATCAGTATTTTACATACAAGTCTCCTTTCTCTATGGCTACTTAAAAATGGTTAAAATTAAAATGTAAAATTATAAATAATCTCTAATAATTATTTAAATTAGAAAGTACATTGACAGCTTCAGTTAACATTAGTAATGCTTGGTCTCCCTTTATATTGTAATTGGCATGCCCTCTGGTGGTCAATTTGTGTACAGTGGCAATTCAGCTTTTATTTAAGAACTAAAGGAGGCATTATGTTCTGCCTTCATATTAGCTATGTTCTTTTTCTTTCTTTTTTTGGGGTGGGAGGAACTGCGGTTTGAACTTAGAGTCTTGTACTTGCTAGAGAGTACTGTAGCGCTTGAACCACTCCTTCAGCTCTTCTTGTTCTGGTTATTTTTGAGATAGGGTCTTACTTTTTACCTGGGCTAGGCTGGACTTTGATCTTCCTATTTATTGTTCCTATTAAGGTGTGATAATGGAAATACCACCATACCTAGCTTTTTCTGTTGAGATGAGGTCTTGTAAGCGGGCCTAAAACCTCTTTGGATCTCAGCTTCCCACATAGATTTAATGACAGGCATGACCATCAGTGCCAGCTCATTAGCTACGGTTTTTTTGTTTTGTTTTGTTTTGTTTTTGTGAAAATACTGTACAGAGGGGTTACAATTACACAGGCAAGATAATGAGTACATTTCTTATCAAGCATTGTAGCCTCCTCCTTTGTTTCCTCTTTCCATCCCTTCCCATCCTACCTCGCCCCCCACCTAATCCTCCCCCACCCCCACCAAAGTTTTAAAGTTCATTTTTCCAAATAACGACTTGTACATCACATTGTACATTGTAATCCATTGTTGCAATGGATCCACCTGTATCCCTATTTAAACGATTTGTTTTTTCCCTTCCCCTCCACAAATTATACCAACCTCAAATACAGTGAAAGCAAGGGTTATACCATGGGGGAGCAACAAAGCAACAAAGAAATAATCTTATAAATGTGTTAGAAACAATCACCTGAAAGAAAAAAAAAATTTGAATCCATATCATAGGGTTCATTTCCCTAACATCAACTTATCTGACCTTTTCTGCTTGACTCAGACATATACTAGTTATTGCAAATAAGGGAAACCATGGGACTTAAGTTTCTTTGGGACTGGCTTACTTCACTTAATATAATTTTGACATTGCCCCATTTGTTAGGAATTGGAAAGACTAGGTACGTTTTTTGTTGTTCCAATATTGAGAACTCGACTTCATGCTCTCACTTAGCTTTTTGGCTCAAGACTGATGTTCTACCACTGAGGCCATACCTCTACTTCTGGCTTTTTGCTAATTGGAGATAGAAGTCTCAAAGACCTCCTGCCTGGGCTGGCCTTGAGCCAAGATCTTCAGATCTCAGCCTGAGTAACTAGGATTACAGGCATGAGCCTCCAGTACCTGGCTTAGATACTTTTTTTTTTTTCTTTTATCAGTGTGCTGATCCTAGGGCTTGAACTCAGGGCCTGAGTGTTGTCCTTAAACTTCTTTTGCTCAAAGGTAGCACTGTACCACTTGAGCCACAGCTCACTTCTGGCTTTTTGGAAGTTTATTAGAGATAAAGAGTCTCACAGACTTCCTGTCTGAACTAATAACTTCAAACACTTATAGCCTCCTAAGTAGCTAGCTAGGGTTATAGGGGTGAGCTCCCATCACCTGACTGAGCTATATTCTTCCTCTTCTTTCTTCTTTCTTTCCTCCTCTCTTCTTCTTTCTTCTTCCTCCTCCTCCTCCTTCCTTCTTTTTTCTTCCTTCTTTTTTTCTTCCTTCTCTTTCTGGGCCTGGGCATTGTCCCTCAGCTCTTCAGCTCAAGGCTAGTACTCTACCACTTGAGCCACAGCGCCACTCCTCTTCTTCCTTCTTTCTTCTTTTTTCTTCTTCCTTCTTCCTTCTTCTTTCTTCTTCCTTCTTCCTTCTTCATTCTTCCTTTTCTTCTTCCTTTCTTATTCTTTCCTTCTTTCTTTTTTTCTTCCTTCTCCTTCTCATTCTTCTTCTGTCTCCTCCTCCTCTTTCCTTTTTCCTTCTTCCTTCTTTCTTTTCCTTCTCCTTCACTTCTTCCTCCTCCTCCTTTTTTTTTTTTAAATGGGGCTTGAACTCGGATCCTGGGCATTGACTCCAAGCCACAGTTCCACTTCCAGTTTTCTGGTGGTTCATTGAAGATATGTTGAAAATGAACTTTACAACTTCAGGGTGAGGGGAGGGAAGAATTAGGGAGGTGGGAGGGAAGGGATGGGATAGTAGGGGAAAAACAAAGGGGGGAGTTACAATGCTCAATAGGAAATGTACTCATTACCGTACTCATGTAACTGTAACCCCTCTGTACAGTATCTTTACAATAATTTTTTTTTTAAAGAGTCTTACCCAGGCTGGCTTTGAACTGTATTCCTCAGATCTCAGCTTCCTGAGTAGCTAATTATAGCCATGAGCCATCAGTGCTGGACTTAATCTACATTCTTAAAGCATCACTTCAGGAGGTATTCTTGTCAATGGGGAAAGGAAATTGAAGTTTACATAGTTTTTAATGTTTTCCTTCCTAAGAAATAAGTTTCTTTAGGCTGTACTTTTCCCTTTTTTTGAAGATTTTTATGTAACTCCTGTTTCTAAATTCTAATTATGAATAGAAAAGATGTCTCAGAAACATGTTGGATAACTTGTCTCCCTTCTGAGATCAGACATATTCAAGTATAATGACTATACACATCTCTATTTATTGCCATAAGTACTATTAGAGCCTTGGATGATCATATTTGCTTGTCACATTTTTTTAGGATATTGTTTTCTCTTTCTTTTTTTAATGGGGGTTTACTGTAAGTACTACTGTGTTAACTCCTTCTAGTGATGAAATAATTGAAAAACATTTCTTGTCAGATTTTACCACCAGGAGCTTAGTATTGACATATACTTTAGCATCCACAGAACATAGAGACTAGGGTATCTACTGACACTTGAAAATTGGGTTTGTCAGGGCTGGGAAGGTAGCTCAGTGGTAGAGTGCTTGCCTTGCATGCATGAGGCCCTGGGTTCGATTCTTCAGCACCACATAAGCAGAAAAAGCCGAAAATGGCACTGTGGCTCAAGTGATAGAGTTGCTAGCCTTGAGCTGAAGAGCTGAGGGACAGTGCCCAGACCCAGAGTTCAGGCCCCACAACTTACAAAAGCAAAAAAGAAAAGGAAGAAAGAAAATTGGGTTCCTCTATATTATAAGTTGAATTTCTGTCAACCACAAATACTAAATTTGGCATGTCAAAGTTGTCTTTGAACATGTTTGTTATTTCTAGACATCTTTGTTAAGATTCTTTGACATTTTCCAATCTAAGTGTTATATAATATTCTTGAACTTGGTTAGTATGTAAATACAGATGGGTTTTAAACTAGTTTCCAGTTACTTTTAGCTGGAGTACATACTTAGAGCTCTCATCTAGCCATTTATTTTTATTTTATTTTTTAATTTTTTGTTGGTCGTGGGGTTGAATTCAGGGCCTGAGCACGGTCCCTAAGCTTGTTATGGGGAAAAGAGTCCATCACTCAGAGACAGTCTCATGTAAAATGATGGGTTTATTGGGGAAGTGGATAGCTGACCAGTCAAGAATGCAGAACAGACTCTGGAGCTGAAACTGCTACCCCAAATGGCCCACAAGCTAGGGTTTTAAAAGGCAAAATCCATGTGGTCAAGCCTGGCCACATGCAAGTGGCCAGCAGGATTGTAACATGAATAAAGATTGCATATTTATGTCAGTGGCCAATGGGGTTACAGTCCGTCTCATAGTAACTGTTTGAACTAACCTATCATTCTGGTTTGAATTGGTTCGTGAATTTGGGGTCTCCACATAAAGCAGATGGATATTCTTACTCATGGGAGCTGTACATTTCAGAAACATAATGTCATATGTCCGTGCATCCTTGAAGCTGGGGTTGTTACAAAGACAGCTACAAGAGATTTATTACAAAGATAGCTATAGGAGGATACACAACATGGCAAGGCAGGCACCATTCTAATTAGGCAGGGTATGAGATAGAGCTGAAGTCCGTGTGAAATATGTTTTAAGGTCTCCCATAAAGGGACCTTGTTTTCAGTAAAGCGTCAATTTCTCAGCTTAGTTTTTCTCACACAGTCTGGGACCCTAACAGTCTAGGAGACCCTTCCCCCCTATAAGCTCTACCACTTTGAGCCATAGCACTACTTCTGATTTTCTGGTGGTTAATTGGAGATCAGACTCTCACAGACTTTCCAGCCCAGGCTGGCTTGGAACTACAATCCTTAGATCTCAGCCTCCTGAGTAGCTAGGATTACAGGCTTGAGCCACTGGTGCCCCAGCAAATTCCTTCTTTTTTTTTTTTTCTTTTCTTTTTTTGTCAGTCATGGGGCTTGAACTTGTCCTGGGCACTGTCTCTCAGCTTTTCTGCTCAAGGCTAGTGCTGTACCACTTTGAGCCACAGCGCCACTTCCTCATCTAGCTGTTTGTTTCATCTATCTCTGGTTCTACTGCTATTATATAAAATTTGTCTAGAAGTAGATACAATTTAGATGTACTGTAAATTGAATAAATGCTACAAGCAACTGTTTGTATTGTGTTTGAGAATGAAGGGACTAGATGGTGTGAGAAATGAAGGCATTATTTTGATAAACTGGCCTTTTAAGAGTATTTTTTATAAAGCTAATGACTACTAACTTACCAGTGTTACTTTACAATGAATGATAATTAGTATTAATATAATAAATATGCCATAGCTTAAAGCCAGCCCTTTTTATTGTTAGACAATAGTTTATCATTGGCTATAACTCCTTTATCTCTGTTATATTTTAGAGATAACTTGTTTTGAAATTCAAAGTATTTATGATTAAGTATCTTTTTCTTCATTATGCATAATAAGACACTAATGATTTACAAAATTTAGTGACTAGTCAAGCCCCATAATCTTAACTACTCAGGAGACTGAGATATGAGGATTGAGGTTTGAAGCCAGCCAGGTAGGAAAGGTCAAGATTCTTAACTCCAATAAGCTACTCAGAAAAAGCAGGAAGTGATACTGTGGCTCAAGTGGTAAAGTGCTAGCCTTGAGCAAAAAGAATCTCAGGAATAGTGCCCAGGCTCTGAGTTTAAGCCCCAGGACAAGAAAGAGAGAGGGGGGGAAGGGAGGGAGAAAGGGAGAGGGAGGGAAAAGAAACACTTAGGGACCAAATATTTTTTAAAATTTTTATATATAGATATATATATATTTTTTTTTTTTTTTTCCGGTCGTGTGGCTTGAACTCTGGGCCTAGGTACTGTCCCTCAGCTCTTCAGCTCAAGGCAACTGCTCTACCACTGGAGCCAGAGTGCCATTTCCAGTTTTCTGGTAGTTAATTGGAGATAAGAGTCTCAAGGACTTTCCTGTCCAGGCTGGCTGTGAACTGTGATCCTCACATCTCAGCCCACTGAGTAGCCAGGATTACAGGCGTGAGTCACCAGCGCCCGGCAGGGACCAAATATTTAAAAAGTTAACTTTAAGAAAAATTATATTGCCTTAAGTGATGATGATTTATATCAGGATGATATAAAAATGATGATCTTTTTTTTTTTTTTTTTTGGTAATATTTGAAAATTAGGCATAGAATCAGAAGTGAAAGAAAAATTGCCTAAATAAATTTAATCAAACATGTTTGTCTGTAGTGCTGTTCCCAAAGATAAGGACAGACAATGCTTCAAACTACGCCAAGGAATTGATAAGAAGATTGTCATCTATGTGCAACAAACAACTAATAAAGAACTCGCCATTGAAAGGTAAGCATATTTAGTAAGCTTAGTTTGAATATAAATTTTGTTGATTATCATTTTAGCTATCCTGTATTTCAAAATATATTTATAGTCTTTTGACATCTAGGGGATTCTTTTGCTTATTGTAGTTGAATGCTCTATTACTTTGAAATTAACTCCCATACCAGGAAATGGAAACAGGAGTTTTTCTCTTGTTGTTCTTGTTTTCTTCTTGTCTTGTTTGTTCATTTATCTGTTTTTGGGAGGACATGGGAGGGGCACAGAAATGGAAGGACAAAGGGTGAACAAATGCAGCAGTGGTACTCATTAGACACTATGTTGAAATGAACTTTATAACTTGTAGATAGGAACATGAGGGGAAACTGGGAGAGGCAAGGGAAAGGATGATATTGTCCAAAAAGAAATGTACTCGTTACATGACTTATGTCACTCTAACTCCTCTGTATATCACCCTTATAATATCAATAGAAAAAAGTTTTAAAGAAATAACTCCCATAAATCCTCAGCTATTATGTTAATATCAGGTATGTGGTAATAGAAAACAGTTAAAGAAGTAAAGATTACAACATTTTTCTTTATTAAGATTAAGTAAATACAAAAATTTCACAGTATTGTTGCATAATGATACCTACCTACACTCACCAACACATTTTAACCTTCACAATACTAATTGTCATTATCTTGATCTACACATCTTACGAAATATACAGATTTTAACAATAAAACTATTTTTCCATATTGGGCGATTTGTGTATTTCTTTTTTTTTTGGAGGGGGGATCCAGTCGTGGGGCCTGAACTATGGGCCTGGGCACTGTCCCTCAGCTCTTCAGCTCAAGGCTAGTGCTCTACCACTTGAGCCACAGTGCCACTTCTGGCTTTTTTCTTTTTTCTTATATGGTGCTGAGGAATCGAACCCAGGGCCTCAAGCATGCAAGCGCTCCACCACTGAGCCACCTTCCCAGCTCCGGATTTGTATATTTCTTTGCTTTTGCTTAGTGTTAGCTGTTTCCTCTTTCTCTCTCATTCCCTGTCTCCCATCTCTGCCCTTGAGTTGCTTAGTTCACTATCATCAATGTCCACTGTAGCTGATGGGCCCCTCTGCTGTATTTTTTCACCCGTTTTCCTCTAGTTCTGTCCCCCCATCATAGCTTCCCTCACATGTGCACATATATACACCATATATGGGGTCAAGAACTTGGAGTCATCTAGAAGCTATATGACAAAGTAAGAAGAGGTCCTTTGTTTCTTGGGTCCTGTTTACTTTGTCATATCTCATTGCATTTTGAATCTAACATCTACATATCTAGGAGAATATACACTATATGTCTGTCTGATCTTGGCTTATCTCAATCAACATGATTTGTTCTAGTTCCATTCATTTCCCTGTAAATGCCATTATTTTGTTCTTTCTAATGGCCATGTAATATTCCATTGTATATAGGTACCATAGTTTTTGGATCCATTCATCTGTGGTGGGACATCTGGGTTGTCTTCATATCTTGGTTATTGTGAATAATGTAGCAATGAACATGGAGGTGCATATGTCCTTGTATCCTGTTTTCAGTTCTATGGGTAGATGCCTATGAGTGGTATGGCTGGGTCATAGGGAAAGTCTATGTTTAGTTTTCAGGCTGCTTTCCAGAGTAGTTGTATTAGTTTACATTTAACAACACTATTTTATAGCTAATTCTAATAACTGCCTTTTTTCTGTCTATAAGAAGTTTTTATTTAAGTGATCAAATTTCAATTTTGGGGGAGGTATAGGAGGTTTATTTCTTTTTCTTCAAATTTATGTGATTTCTGTCTCTATAGATGCTTTGGTCTCCTCCTAAGCCCAGGAAAAGATGTACGAAATAGTGACATGCATTTATTAGATTTGGTAAGTTAGATTTTCTTTTTGCTGAAAGATTATATACTTTTTCCTTAGGTTGTTTTACTTCATATCATCAGAATCTAACATTTATGAAGGCATTCTCATAAGCTATGAAACACTACACAGTATTGTTTTTCCTGATGTGTCATTTATAAGTCTGATCTTGGTTGACTATCTCAGCCTTAGTTTCTTAACTATGTGATCTTGATAGTCTTGTTTACTAGGTTAGATTGATGTGTGGGAATAAGAGGAGAAAATTTTCCAGAGAATTCTTTGCAAACTGTCATATGCTTTACAAGTTGTAAGAGGAGCCAAGTGTAGTGGTACAAACCTGTAATCCCAACACTGGTACACTGAGGTAAGAGTATCATGATTTCGAAGTCAGCCTGAATGACATATCAAAATTCTGTGTGAAAAACCAGTCCCCTCCAAACAAACAAAAACCTACAAAACAAAAATCATATAAATCATAAGTATTCAAATTTTTGCTATGATATGAACATCTTCCTTTTCAGAACTAAAAACTATATTGTCTTATTTACTTACTAGAACTGAGCATAGGTTTCAGGTACTACATTTCCCTAATGTTTCGTCAACTTGATGTGATATACGGATATTTACAGAAACCTTTTGAGGAACAGTTGTACTAAAAATTGACACATTTTTAATCATAACAGTCTTCAATCATATGTACTACTACTTTAAAAAAAAAAAACTTACAGGCTGGGAATGTGGCTTAGTGGTAGAGTGCCTGACATGTATGTGGGTTCAATTCCTCAGTACCACATAAACAGATAAGGCTGAAAGTGGTGCTGTGGCTCAAGTGGTAGAGTGCTGGCCTTGAGCAAAAGAAGCTCAGGGACAGTGCCCAGGCCCTGAGTTCAAGCCCTAGAACTGGCAAAAAAAAAAAAAAAAAAAAAACCCCAAAACCAGAAAACTTACAATTGATCTGGTAACCAGCTTCACTCACGTTGCATCCACCTTCTCCATGGCCACTAGAAGCCACTTTATTTGTATAACTTCTCAAATTTTGATATGTGGCAAAACTGCCAGAAGTAATACTACCTACATTAAAAGGTAGGGCAGAATTTACTGCACCTGGAGCAGAATTTGCTCCCTTTGCGGGTAGGATTCAGGAAATCTAATTGGTGGCAATAATTATGTGATTCTTGGCACATGCACATTTTAGGAGGAAGCAGTATCATTGAAGAAGTTTCATATAAAACACTGCAGATATGTCACCATGGAGTCAGAGTCAGTGGCTTAGTTTGGAGCACAGAGACTAGACTCCTTTTGCCTCCAGTAATCAAATTTTGTTTTCATCTGCTGACATGAAAATTACATTATTAACTGTAGATGTTCAAAGTAAAATGAATAGTAGGTTTAAGAAGACCATTCAGATTTCATTAATGGTTGGGAGTTGCATCCCAAACAAGGACAAGAAATTTCAACTGTGAGTGAGTAATGATAATATCTGCAACAGGATTTAGGCCTTGGAAGGCAAACAGCTCATTTTGTTCTTCATTCCCATGGATCAAATGTGTTCTAGCATCTTGAGGAAACTTATGAGCCAATGGTTATAGAAAAGAACACAACAGTTATATGACTGCTTTTAACCTGCTAGGCTATTTTGTCTCTTGAATCAGAACAGATGCCATTAATGTCAGCATGCTGCTGCTTAAAGAAACACCTTCAAAGTTACAGCTATTGCGGGAATTGTTTAATTTGGAATATCACTTGGTTTAGTTATGCTCTAGAGCCCGTGTATGCAGTTTGTGAAAACTTGCTTGCAACCACTGGTTTTGGAAAATAGCATGTGACTTTCAAATTCACTGTTTAGCACTCCCTTCCATCCCCATTCTCCTTGGTCAGTAGCTGCTGGATCTGGCCTTTCTTGGCACAGAACTCTCATGCTGTGTGCTGTTGGAGACCACAAGCTGTTGTTTTAGGTGACTGAGATGTATTTCTGATTTAAATCTTAAACTTAGTGTTTTTAGTAAATCTTTTAGAAATTTCTTAATTATATGTTAAAATACACAGTAAACTTTAAAAAATGGATAATCTTACGTACATATTTTTTCAACTCCTGTTTATTAAAAGCAGCAAAATGTCAATTAGCTATTATTCACTTACTTTAGCATAAAGGTTTGCTTTTACTCTTTTCTTTAGGAGTCTATGGGCAAAAGTTCAGATGGCAAGTCTTATGTTATTACTGGAAGCTGGAATCCAAAATCCCCACATTTTCAAGTTGTAAATGAAGAAACTCCAAAAGGTGATGCAAATTGCTTTTATGAATATTTTACTCTCAAGAAGCTACCCAGTCCAGGCACCTGTGGCTCACTACTATAATCCTAGCTAATCAGGAGACTGACTGCCATCCTGTGGAAGATCTATCTCCAGTTAACCAGCAAAAAACAACCCCCCAAAAAACAGCTAGACTGGTGGCATAGCTCAAATGGTAGACCATCAGGCTTGAGCAAGAAAGCTAAAGAGTCAAAGACCCTAACTTATAAGCCCTGGTACCTGCACAAAGAAAAAAATAAAGAAATCCCAGACTTGGGTGGGGTTGATGGTGGTTTATGCCTATAATCCAGTTATGAAAAAAACACTGATCAGAGGATTGTGGTCTTAGGCCAGACTGGGAAAAGCATATGAGACCCTATCTGAAACTAAAAAGCTCAAGTAGTAGAGCTCTTATTTAACCAAAAAAAAGTAGAACATACACAAACCTTAAGGTTACTTGCTTGACCAGTTTCTAGTATTTGCCTAATTCTGGTGAGACAAATGACTTGAATAGCTCAAGAGTTTCTTGTTAAATTTACCTGTAAACAAAGTATTTTTGCTTATTTGTTTTTCTCTTCTCTTCATTTTCCCTTTTGTTTTTATGTACTTATGTATTTACAGACTTCTAAATTTTGTTTTTGTAGAGAGATAATCCATGCACGTATGGTTAAATATTCAAAGGACATACATAGAAAAGTGAGTGTGTTACAGTCCGTGGTGCCCCTTTTCAAAGAGAATCACCATTAGCAGTTTCCTTGTGTAATTTCAGGTATTCTGTGCAAAACAACTTCTCGTTTTTTGAGACAAGGTCTTGTTAAATAGCCCCAAATGCCTCTGTCTCATGATCCTCCTACCTTCGTTTCCTGAGTGCTTCATAAAGAAGTTTTTTTTAAGTTATCTCATGTTTTTCCTAAGTGACCTTTAATAGTATCTTAATGTCATAGCTTAAAAATGTAGAGTTATTTGCTTAATGAGGCCCTCTTATTGCACATTTATTTTTCCTAGAATTCATGGCAAAATGGATAAAGGACATAAACTAGCAGTTCTGAAGTAGAAGATCTGTAAAATTATTAGCTAAGTTTAAAAGTTGAGAATTTCCAGTGTTGTTGAGGGTAGCACAAAGAAGACACATATATGTGGAACAAAACATTTCTATGGCTTTAAAACATGCATTGGTGTCACTTTCCAGTTTTAGTGCTCCAAAAATCAAATTTTCAATGTTTTTTTTTTTAATTGTGAAAATACCATACAGAGGGGTTACAATTACATGGTTAAGGTAATGACTACATTGTTGCCTCCTCCTTTGTTTATCCCCCCCCCCCAATGTTTTTCAAAGCAACAATTTACCTAATAATTTAAAATTATGGTTGACCTTAAGATAATCTTGAAAGGTTGTAATAAAAGTAATTATTGTTCTAGTAATTGTATGAGCAAATGTATTTCCATCTGTTTTTTGTTTGTTTGTTTGTTTGTTATTCTCATCTTTTCTCTGTCTCCTAGATAAAGTACTCTTCATGACCACAGCTGTTGATTTGGTAATAACAGAAGTACAGGAGCCTGTTCGCTTTCTCCTAGAGACAAAAGTTCGAGTTTGCTCACCTAATGAAAGATTATTCTGGCCTTTCAGCAAACGTAGTACTACTGAAAATTTCTTTTTGAAACTAAAGCAGGTACTGATTTTTATTTTTTATAAATTCAAAAGGGAAAATAAGGAAAACTTATGTAAGAGGCTGATTTAACCTTAGAACATCAGATCTTTAAGTAGTCATATATATTTTAGATATATTAAAAGGAAAAACAATGTCATTTTTAGATTTATCCATCTATGTATAATTTTAATATTCTTGACTTTTTCTTAAAAAGCCAAGTTTCTATTTGCTCATTTATCCTTAGCATGAGCACATTTTAGCATTTATTAATGAAAATATGCCAATGACATATTCTCTTAGGTTTTTTTTGTTTTTGTTTTTGTTTTTTTGTTTTTGTTTTTGGTCAGTCGTAGGGCTTGAACTCTGGGCTTGGGCACTATCCCTCAGCTCTTCAGCTCAAGGATATAGCACTCTACCACTTGAGCCACTGCACCACTTCTGGTTTTCTGAGTGGTTTATTGGAGATAAGAGTCTCACGGACTTTCCTACCCAGGCTGGCTTTGAACTGCAATCCTCAGGTCTCAGCCTCTCCTGAGTAGCTAGCATGATAGGCTTGAGCCACCCAGCTTTTTTTTTTTTTTTTTTTTTTTCATTTTACACATGTTAGCCCATAGATTTCTGACCTCCATAGTTTTTTGTGAAGAGTAATATGTAATATGTTATTTTTCTGGGCTGCTTTTAAGATTACTGCGGTATCATTGATTTTTAGACATTTAACTATTGTACTTAGGTGTTATTCTCTTTTTGTCTAACCTTCTTGGGATTTGCTAGCCTTCTTAAATTTCTAAAAAAATATTAACCAAATTTGGGGAAATTTTGGCCTGTTTAGTCTTCAGTATTTTTCCTGACCATTTATTTTCTTCTTTTATTGCTTCTTTTCTTCTTTTGTTTGCTTTTTTCTTTTAGCCAGGCTAGCCTGTAACTTAGGATTCTTCAGCTTCAATCTTCTGAGTACTGTGACCAGAAAGGTAGTACAACCTCTTATAGTGGCATGGCTACCTTTAGAAGCTAATTATACATATTCTCAATATCTTGAGAATAAATTTTGAGGCTTTTCTTTCTAATCTGCTTTTCCATATGACAAACTTATTGTTAACTTGTCTGTTTTGTCATTTCTATATGTCCATTGAATGAGGTTTTCATTTTTTTAGGTTTTATACCTTATATATATATTTTTGTTTCCAGAGTGTTCAGGCAGTTCTTTCTTCTTCTTTCTTACCCTTATTTATGAGTTTATTTTCTCCTGCAATTTACTATTTTGTTCTTTTATGGGACTTTCTTTTGCACCTTGGAGCATTTACAATATAGTTATTTCAGAAATGCTTGACCGCTGATGAGTAATTTTTTCCTATGCTTATGTCTAGCTTATAATTTCAGATTATAGTTTATAACACTTTAAGCAGTACATTGTAGACAGTCTTGAGTCAGTTCTGGTCTTTTTTATTTTTGATGGTACTAATGTTTAAACTCATGTGATATGTTACAGTCTTATGAAAACTACCTTCTCATCTTTTTTTCTCCCCACTGATTTTGTTTCAAGCATCTAGAATATCACAGTAGTTCTCAATAAGGATTTTTTGAATTCAGTTTTATTTACATGCACCTTTGATTTTTCATTATCTAAAATTAGTGTTGAATGTGGATTTGAATATCCTTTTCCACAATAGTAAAAATGCTGATTCCAGATTGGCTCTATTTAGCATACTTAAAAAATAGGCAGAGAAGTCACACAAGTTTTTTTAGTGATGTGTTAGAAACAGACAGTAAACCTGACTGTTAAGGAGCAGAGGATTAGCATATGGTCTTCACTCCGTGGTGGAGGACACCCAGCCCACAGGTCACGAATGCTGTGAAATCATCTGGTACATGATAGGACAAACACATATACTTCTTGTCTGCCTCTCCTTGGCTGCCCCTGGCCATCTGCCTTACTGATAATTTTGTATGCCCCATAATGGTTTTATAAGTATCAAATGGCCGTTAGTAGTAAAAAGGTTCCCCTTCCTTATAACACTGGATTAGAGGCAGCGTGCATAAATCTTACCCCTGACTGGATTTATGGTTTTGAGCAACTTCTTTGAACTCTCTGTGTCTTGGTTTATCGAACTGCAAATTGGCAGCAGTAATAGAATCTCTTCCTTGTTATTGTGACATAAAACAAGAAAGCATCCATCACAGTTGGAATATTTTCCAAGACATCAATAAGTTCTCCATACGTTTTAGTTTTTATAATTGAGAGAGACTATGAAACCTCAGTGGGATTCAAGAAGGATTAAAAAAAACTTAAGTCATAAAATCAACACAATGCTGACATTTATTTATTTGCTTACTTACTTAGAGACAAGGTATTGTTATGTAGTCTAGATTGGCCTGGAACCCATGATTCTCCTCACTCAGCTTATTGATTACTGGGGATTACAGATGTGCACCAGCACACCCACTGCTATCCATTGTTTGGGTAGAGGATCAGTACTGAGGGAAACTGACTTTAGAAATTAAACCAATTTAAAAGCATCACTGCAAGTTCAGAGAGTAAAAGGGAGATATTCTTCAGTCTCTAGATCAGCCAGGCACTGGTGGCTCACACCTGTAATCCTTACTACTCAGGAGGCTGAGATCTGAGGATCATAGTTCAAAGCCAGCCCAGGCAGGAAAGTCCATTAGGCTTTTATCTCGAGCTAACCACCAGAAAACTGGAAGTGGCACTGGCTCAAAGGCTAGAGCACTAGCCCTGAGCAAAAGTGCTCAGGAATAGCACTCAGACCCTGAGTTCAAACCCCATGACTAAACAAAAAAAAATTTTTTTAAGTCTCTAGACCAAGAGGCAGCAAATAGAAATTCATTGAATAATATTTTAACATAAATTTATATGTCAAAAATCTGTTTAATTAGAGTTTTCTCTTTTACCCTGATTAAAGTGATGATAAACGAAACTTGTATTTTCCCTTAGGTCTAATATACAATTTTGGACTGAGATAGGTTTGCAGACAGGAATATTAACTTTGTAATTGAGTCTGGAATAATATATCTTTTCATGGAAATACATTTGTTCAATTTAAGCAAGATTTAAAAGTAATTTTATATAATGTTCTATCCTAGAACTTTTTGGGCTTTTTTTGTTAGGTTACAAAATGACTTGATAGGGTAAAGTAGCCACAATTATACTTTTGAAGTATAGTTTAGTCAGTAGACTTCTGTAGACTCTTTTGACAATTTTGAAACTATTTTGGAAGCTGAAAACATGAGGACTGTGGATCTAGGCCAGCCCAAGTGAAAAATTGTGAGATCCCAACTCAGCCTATTCCTTTGCATAGTGGCACACACGTGGGCAAGTAGGAAGACCTATCTTAAAAATAACCATTTCAGGAAAGGGCTGGAGCAGTGGCTCAACAGTGCCTTTCTAGTAAGAATGAAGCCTTGAGTTCAAAATCTAGTACCAAGAAAAAGGAAAATGCAATATGATATACATATATTATATGTAATATATTATGTATATTGACTCCCGTGAGCTGGAAGAGTGGCTCCCAATTGTAAAATGCCAGTCAAACAAGCTAGATGAGTATGAGTCCCTGAATTAAAAATCTCAATACCCACCAAAGAATCCCCAAAGAGTGTAAGCTGAATTCTTAACATCATCCTTTCAAAAAAGCAGAACCATATGTTGTGAAGCTATAAGGAAGTCAAGAAATTCCTTATCTGTCTGTCTGTCTGTCTGTCTGTCTGTCTATCTGTCTATCTATCTACCTATCTATCGTCTTTTGTTTTCCTTTGTATTTGGGTAAGTCTTTAGGGCAAGGGTTAGAGATTAGAATGGTAGAGGTAGAGTGTGAAGAATGCAAACATCTTACCTGACTTACGAAATGGTAACCCCTCTGTACATCACCTTTATAATAACAATAAAATATTTTAAAAAAAAGAATGGGAACATTTTACCATCACAGAGCACTTTACAGCATTGTTGATCTTATGTATAGTTTGAGCAATGTTTTACTGAGTACTTATTTACAAGCCACTTAATCTCACCCCCTTGTAGTTTTATTAAAACTACATTTATTTATACCACCTCTCTTTTTTTTTTTTTTAACATCCATAGCATTAAAAATAACTTTCCCAGTACTGAGGGAAACTGACTTTAGAAATTAAACCAATTTTAGAGCACTAGCCTTGAGCTGAAGAGCTGAGGGACAGCGCTCAGGCCCAGAGTTCAGGCCCCACGACCGGACCCAAAAAAAAAAAAAATTAAACCAATTTAAAAGCATTATTGCAAGTTCAGAGAGTAAAAGGGAGATATTCTTCACAGTCTCTAGATCAGCCGGGCACTGGTGGCTCACACCTGTAATCCTAACTACTCAGGAGGCTGAGATCTGAGGATCATAGCTCAAAGCCAGCCCAGGCAGGAAAGTCCATTAGGCTTTTATCTTCAGCTAACCACCAGAAAACTGGAAGTGGCACTGTAGCTCAAGCAGTACAGCACTCGCCTTGAGCCTTGAGCTGAAGAGCGCAGGGATAGCACCCAAGCCCAGAGTTCAAGCCCCACGACCGACGAAAAAAAATAAATAACTTTACTACTTATTGAGGTCCTCTTGTGATTATAACTACTAGCTACTTAATTCCTTATCTCAGGTTACTTTGGCAGCAATCCAATGAGCATAAATAATACTCCCGTATTATTTATCTTGTCTATTTTGTAATATATTTATGAACAAGAAACATACAGTTTCATCCAGGGTTACTTCATAGAAACATAACACTTTTGTATTTCTGAAAGAAGATTTTTACAAGTTTTCTTTAGGCAGTAATTTAAAATGTTAACCCTTTTCAGTTCTCCTCAAACCAAAAAGAAAAGAGTTCCTACCAAGCAAAATTTTAAAATGCACAGCATGTTACTTTTCTTTACCATCGGTTTGGAAAAGCAGTTATAGAATTTTAATGTGTTTAAAAATTGATTCTTTCTCCTTTTGTTAAAATTATCTGGTGACTCAGTAACTCCTTTTAGCCTGGAAGCCTGCCCATCTGTGGGATTGTTAAATTAAGATGGCATCATATTAGAGAAGGAAAACTTTAAATTAGGGAGACAAAGACTTTCTTGGATTAGCCATTTACTGGAAATGGAAGAAAATGAACTAAAGACTTAAATTTCCTAAAAATGATACAAAGTAACCAAGAAAAGCAAATATTCTTAGAAGTAAAAAATTATGGAACTTTTCTTACCAAAGACACCATTAGAGGAATTCATTATTTATTGTATTTTTATTTTATTTGGCTAATTTTAAAAAGCAATAGATCTGAAACAGTCTACATAGGTAAACAGAAGATTCTGCATTCTATTTAAGAGCTACACAGTTCTGAATTGTTTGGAATGAATCAATCATCCTCTACTGAGGGACACATGGCATGGATTTTTTTTTTAACCATTGTTTTTTTCTTCCAAGTAATGTTGCAAGATGAAACCTTGTGGATCTTTTTGGTTTCTGAAAGTGCCTTTTTTTAGAGTAATTTCCGTTTTATGTTGTTGTTGATCATGGGGCCTGAGCTCTGGGCCTGGGCACTGTCCTCAGCTCTTCAGCTCAAGGCGAGTACTTTACCACTTGAGCCACAGCACCACTTCAGGCTTTTTCTGCTTATGTGGTGCTGAGGAATCAAACCCAGGGCCTCAGGCATGCAAGGCAAGCACTCTACCACTGAGCCACCTTCCCTGCCCCCTGTTTCAGATTGCATTTAAGTGATACTTTCAAATGCAATTTGTAACGCAACAAAAATTTTAAATCCTGTTTCCTACCAAAGAATAGCTTTTAAAAGCTAAAATTATTATTATAAATTTGGGATAAATATATGCTAAAGAATTTAAGTCACTTTGTTTCTTTGGGATCTAGAAAGATGGTAAAATGGGTTCTAAGGATTTGAGACCTTGAGGTCTATGCTTAGAAAAAAAAAGTTTTAGAAGATTACTAGGTTAATGTCTCATAGGTAATCTTTGGGTTATCTTTTCTGTTGGACAGAAATAATGTTCATATCTCATGGACACAAGCCTAGAGTTTAATATGTAACTTCACAGAATCTGAATCCTTTATTAATAGTAAGTAGCTAAGTAAAGAAACAGTATATTGTCAAAATCAAGTAATCTTTGGTTAGATGTGTTAAAGCCAAACGGCAAACTGTAGCCTGAGTGTCACATCTGGCCTGACAACTGTTTCTGTAAATAAGATTTTATTGGGTCACAATCACATTCAATTTACTTATTGTCTGTGGCTGCTTTTGCCTTTCTAATGGCAGAAGTCCATAATGGTGACAGAGACTACTAACTCATTTACCCTAGAATAACTTACTATTTTGATTTTAAGAGAAACTTTCTGATTCTTTTTTTTTTTTTTTTGGGTCCGGTAGTGGGGCCTGAACTCTGGGGCCTGGGCGCTGTCCCTCAGCTCTTCAGCTCAAGGCTAGTGCTCTACCACTTGAGCCACAGCGCCACTTCCGGCTTTTTTCTTTTTGCTTATGTGGTGCTGAGGAATCGAACCCAGGGCCTCGAGCATGCAAGGCAAGTGCTCTACCACTGAGCCACCTTCCCAGCCCAACTTTCTGATTCTTGTATGAAGTGTTTTATAATTATGCTGAAAGAACATGTTGCCACTATGTTGGCTTTACTGTAGATCTGGGATAAATTTTAAAGAACTCAAATGGAAATTGGGATGATAAAATGCACTCTGACATTTCTGTGAACCCTTTATCCTCTACCCTCTCTTTGTGTGTTTTTACTTTACTGTGTGTGTTCATGTGGTGTGGCTGGCTATTTTTCAGGTTTTTCTGTGTACGTTTTCTGGTAGTTTTCCCTTTTTCTCATGCTCTATAATTATAATTCACTTCATGTTTTTTTCCTCCTCCTACATAAAGTGGCCATAATAGGAACTTAATGTACTTAAATACTTAATATATTTAAGGCAAATTTTTATACTGTTATTGCTAATTTAGATCAGTGTAAACTGTTACATATTTGCCTGAAAATAAATGAGATGGAGTTACCAAATTTTTGTGTTTTCTTTTTATGTCTTCTATTCATTTCCACCCACTGACCACTCTCACCCTAAGCTGTTGCTTTCAATTAAGAAAAAGTTCCATACACTGTTTTAATTAAGCAGGAGGGGGAAAAATCATGAAGGAAGATTTTGTTAATCTAATTTTAAACTTAATGTTTTACATTTAAACTTTTTTTTTTTTTTTGGCAGTTGTGGGACTTGAACTCTGGGCCTGAGCACTGTCCCTCAACTCTTCAGCTTAAGGCTAGTGCTCTACCACTTGAGCTACAGGGCCACTTCTGGTTTTCTAGTGGTTTATTGGAGATAAGAGTCTCACAGACTTTCCTGCCTGGGCTGGCTTTGAACCTCGACCCTCAGATCCAGCCTCCTGAGTAGCTAGGATTACAGGCGTGAGCCACTGGCGCCTGGCTAGATTAAAACTTTTTGATCTGTAATTTTATATAGTAAGCCTGAAAGGATACCTTAAAGGATAACATGAAAGGTACAGGAACAATTATCTTTTTAGTTTATATTAATTGTTGGTGCTTGTATATTTGATGATATTCTTTGATGATTGGTAAAATTGCAATAATGGAGTTGAGCTCAGTAAATACTCTATTATCCTAAGGGTTATAAATACAAAAGTGTACTTTTCTACTTAGAAAAGGTTATGTTTAAGCCCAGGTGCCAGCCTGGTTCAAAGCCAGCCCGGGTAGGAAAGTCCATGAGACACTTACTTCCAATAAACCTCTTGAAAACCAGAAGTGGCACTGTAGCTCAAGCAGTAGAGCGCTCACCTTGAGCTGAAGAGCTCAGGGACAGCTCCCAAGCCCAGAGTTCAAGCCCTAGGACCGGCACAAAAAAAAAAAAAGAAAGGTTATGTTTAATGTAAATATTGAAAGAAATGCTATTCTCATATTCTATACAAAATCAAAATATTTAATATAAAAGATTTTACTGCATTGTAATAATATTTTTTCCACCCTCAAGATAAAGCAGAAGGAGAGAAAGAATAATGCTGACACATTTTATGAAGTTGTGTGCTTGGAAAGTGAATCAGAAAGAGAGAGAAGGAAAACTACTGCCACTCCTTCTGTTCGCCTGCCACAGTCTGGATCTCAGAGTTCAATGATCCCTTCTCCTCCTGAAGATGATGAAGAGGAAGGTAAATTGCAGGGAGAACTTAATTTACATGTAGTTAGAGGACTTTTAAGGTTTTATCATTCACCTGATTGATAGTATAAAGTGACAGGTGGACTTTATTCAAAGTGGGTATTTGAGAGGCTACTGTGTAGAAAATTTGTGAGAGGTTAGAAAATAATTAACATTAGATTTTTTAAATTACAATCAAATTGGAGAAATTAGATTTTATAATTAGTACTTTTTTGTTTCTATTTTTTTGCGGGGGGGGGGGGGGTGGGGAATCCGGTTGTGGGGCCTGAACTCTGGGCCTGGGCACTGTCCCTCAGCTCTTCAACTCAAGGCGAGCGATCTACCACTTGAGCTACAGCGCCACTTCCATAATTAGTACTTTTTAAAAACTCATTGCTTAGCTAAAGTGTATTAGCACTTTTTTTGTCACAGCTTCTATATAACTGAGTATTTCCATCTCAACTGATTGATTTTATAGGACAGTTTGACCTGCTGACACTTGAGAGTTACACCTCAGGATTGCTGTTTCACTATCTTCATATCTTACTATCTCTAAAGTCTTAGTTATTTAAAGTTTAAATATTTTGCTTGGTCCTTTTAAATACTTTTTGCTGGGCTGGGAAGGTGGCTCAGTGGTAGAGCGCTTGCCTTGCATGCCTGAGGCCCTGGGTTCGATTCCTCAGCACCACATAAGCAAAAAGAAAAAAAAAAGCCAGAAGTGGCGCTGTGGCTCAAGTGGTAGAGTGCTAGCCTTGAGCTGAAGAGCTGAGGGACAGCGCCCAGGCCCGGAGTTCAGGCCCCACAACCGGACCAAAAAAAAAAAAAAAATTTATATATGCCCCTTGTATTTTAAATATATGTATGCCATTTTATAGAACATTTAGAAATTCATAAACATATAAAAGAGTAAAGTATCGATCACACTACCATCAATCAGAGGCAGAAATGATTTATGACTTGAAGGCTAGCACTCTGTCACCTGACTCACAACTCCTCTTCCAGCTCTTTGGCAGTTAATTAGAGATAAAAGGGGTTAAAAGCATGGATAAAATGGTAGAGTGCCTACCAATGAGCAAAAGCATCAGATACTGAGTTTGAGTCCTGATCTTGGACCAAAAACAAAGACAGAGAGAGAGAGACAGACAGACAGACAGAGAGATCTCACAGAGTTTTTTTTACCTGCAATTGATTGAATTGCAATCCTCAGATATATGCCTCCTGAGTAGTTAGGATTACAGTCTACGGACACCAGCTTGTTTTCTATTTTTCAACATCGATCACACTGAAGATTTAACTCCATATGTGTTTATGTGTTTTTCCCCCATATCCTTTTGTAACATAAATGTTAGCATTTGCCTTATATCATTTTATTTCACCATTCTTTTTTTTTTTTTTTTGTCGGTTGTGGGGCTTGAACTCTGGGCCTGGACGCTGTCCCTCAGCTCTTCAGCTCAAGGCGAGCGCTCTACCACTTGAGCTACAGCGCCACTTCCTTATTTCATCATTCTTTACTGTGCCTTTATAGAAGAATCAGGAGCTGATATTTTTTGCTGTTGTAAATGAGACTGTTATATATGCTATATATAAATCTGTTTACTTTGGAAAAGGTAAAGGAATGTACCATATTTGTGTGTCTTGTAACTTTATAAGTGGCTCTTTTCTTTTTTTGCAAATCCTGGGGCTCCAACTCAGGGCCTGGGTGCTGTCCCTGAGCCCAAGGCTAGCGCTCTACCACTTGAGCCACACCACCACTTTTCTTTTGTTTTTGTTTGTTTGTTTTGTTGTTTGTAGTTTATTGAAGATAGGTGTCTCATGGGGACTTTTCTGCCCAGGTTGGCTTCAAACCTCAATCTTTAGGTCTCAGCTTCCTGAGTAGCTAGGATTTACGGGAGTAAGGCACTGGCACCCAGAAAATCACTCTTTTCTATAATTGACAAAATAAAGACATGTGGAAAGAAAGGATAAAGAGGTTACAAAAACTTTCCACTTATGGCCAGTTTTATTTTATTGTATTTATACACAAACATTAAAAAAGAAATTATGACTATTTTCATAGTATAGTACATTTTGGCTAGCGTAGCCATTTTTGTGATGCTTTTTTGTTTTTTACTAAAGATAATGATGAGCCTCTCTTGAGTGGATTTGGTGATGTATCCAAAGAATGTGCAGAAAAAATTCTTGAAACATGGGGTGAATTACTATCAAAATGGTAAGTTCTAATAGTTCTCCTTTTTGTCTCTAGATCTCATTTTATGAATATGGAATGTTTCCTAATTATAATACTCAGTTTGGAACCAATTTAAATGTACACACACTAGACCTTGTATTTTTGGGATTTGTGAGGATGATAGTGTAGAAATTTAATCAGTTCTTAGAATATCAGAGACAATAAATCTTCATTACTGAAGAAAACATTAAACCAAACATGGAACTTGGGAACAGCATTAAAAAAAAAAAAGTCCTTTATGTTGAAGATTGAAGAAGTGACTCACTATTTAAGATAATACCCAGTATGACTTTTCCTCATCTGTGATAAGTTCCTGGCATGAAGCATAGTGTCACTAATATAGTATATATTACCTACTCTGTCAATTGTCTTTCCATGTTTAAAACTTGCCTTAACATGTTTAAAACTCAGGAATTTCTTAATAGCTTGTGATGGCAAGTAGTTCAGTGATAGATGCTTGCCTATCTTGCTTGAGGCCTTGGGTTCATTCCCCAGCACAGAAACAAGACAAAATATTACTGATTCTTGCTGTGCATTGTGGCATATGCCCATAACCACAGCAGTAGCCCATAATCCAAGCATTCAGGAGGCTGGAGAAAGTTCCAGACTAGCCAGAACTGAATAGGGAGTTGGAGGCCAACCTAAGCTGTCTCAAAATAAGAAAGAAAATACCTTGACAACAGTGTTAGCTAGCATTATCCTAGTCAGATTGAAGGAGATGGTATCTCCAGGTATTGATCAACAGACCAGGGATACTCTGGTGAGACATTTTTGTAGTTCCTTTCTCCTTGGGTAGGGTGCCATGGGAAAAAAAAAAAAAAAACAATACAAAACAGAAAACTGAACTTGAAAGCGATTCAAGGCTGTCTGTTTCTAATGTTTCCATTAGGGCTAGTACATTAGTTCCCTGTGCATCTTATGGCTTTGGGGTTTCATTTTTCTCATAAATTATAACTGTTGAAGTTTTTTAACTTTAAGCTGTGTCTTAGCATTAAAAATAATCATGGTGGGGGTGGAATTGGGAGGGGAGGGAAAGAGAAGTAAGGGAGGGGGTAACAATATTCAACAAGAAATGTACTCATTATTTTACATATACAACAGTTACCCCTCTGCACATCACTTTGACAATAATATTAAATTAAAAAAGTAATTTTACCTAAAGAGAGGAAGGGGAGAAAATACAGTAATAATATCCAGTGTATATCTTACAGAATTTATCAAATTGAGGGAGGGGCGGGATTGGGGGAGACAGGGAAGAATGGTGAAAGGGTGACATTGATCAAGATGCATTGTATTCATAAACTGCTTTGTTAAATGGCAACTCCTTTGTACAGCTACTGAAAGATAATAAAGTATACATATTTAAAAAAATTTGTGCCCTTCAGTGATACAGTACAATTGGGTGTCTTCTGCTGTAGCTCTCTTAAAATGTTTTATGCTATGGCAAAACACTCTACGTATTGTAAAGTATCATATGCACAAGAGAAAAGGGCAAACAAGAGCATGGCTTGTTTTTACGTAAGTGGCTTTAATACATGAACTCTGAAGAAAACCTAGAATAGTTTTCTGATTTTTTTTTATATTACTGTACAGTCAGGCGACAAAACTGTGGATGGTTTTGTCACCGTTATATCTTCAATTCAGTGAGTCTGAAGTGTTTGGACTTCTGCTGCAAGGAATTTCATCTGCATAAAAAGGTTTCTGCTCTAAAACAGAAATACAGTTTAGTTTTACATGGTTTCCTAATATTTAAAACTGTCTAGTATAGTATTTGGATTCTAGAATTAGATTTTATTAGATGAGCCTACCAGCATTGTATATGATAACTTGGGATGTATTTTCTTATCACTTTGTTATTTATTTAATTCCAGTGTCCTCCCATATCCTCAAATTTATTAACTGAATTCCCATCTGTCTCTATCACTTCCAGGTTATTCAAGCTAAGTTTGCTTATTTATTCATGACTTCAGATATATCATATTTTCTTTTAATCATTTCATCTTTAATTTTTTCCATCCTATGTGTTCTGTGGATAGGAATCATATTGTTAACTTTACTTCACTAAGAAAATAGAAGTCTGTGGAACTACCATATGGGATTCTTATAGACTAAGAATAATGGATGTCCTGGTTGAATACTAAGCCCTCTGTCAAGTTATATACACAACATTTTTCAACAATAGTAACCTTATAAATTTGTAACCACTTTTACAAATGAAGAAGCTGACTCATAATTTAAGCTATTCAATGAGTAAACTGGGAGACCCAAAAATTTTAACATAGAAAATCTGATGTTGAAGTAGACTTATTTATTTCCATGTTACATTTACTAGCAGTATTAGTAATAATATCTTGGAGCTCTATCTCTCTAAGTTATCCTAGTGGTAAGAGAACTAATGTCCTCAATGTAAAAGAATGTACTGAGTTGTCACTAGTCTTAAGAAACTGATGACTACCCCAGTGAATAAACTGACCTCCCTGGTTTTTCTCCATTTGTGAAACTGGAGATAAAAGGTCTACTTCAGAGCCGGTTGCCGGTGGCTCACAATTGTAATTCTAGCTACTCGGGAGGCTGAGATCTGAGGATCATGGTTCAAAGCCAGCCCGGGCAGGAAAGTCCACGTGAAACTCTTATCTCCAATAAACCACTAGAAAACCAGAAGTGGTGATGTGGCTCAAGCAGTAGAGTATTCACCTTGAGCTGAAGAGCTGAGGGATAGCGCCCAAACCCAGAGTTCAAGCCCCACGACTGCAAAAAAAAAAAAAAAAAAGTCTGCCTCAGATGGTTGTTATAGGAGCAAATGAGATACTATATTAAAAGCCTTTTGAAGACTTATCTTAATGTTTCTAGACAGGCTTTATCTTCTTCATTGTATAGATTAAAAAAAAAAGTAAACTCCAAAACTTATTAACTTGTTTTGATAGTATAGTGGTACATTAGAAACATTCTTAAACCACCACAGTTACTTAGAGAAGTTGCTTGAAGGAATATAGAAAAACTACTTAAAACATACTTGAATTGTTTTTTTGTAACCAAAATTACATAAATATATAGTTCACTTGTTGATTTTGAGGTAGGGCTCTGTTCCAGTAATTAGAATGTTGCTCTCACTTTTTTATATAAGCTCTAGCCATAAGTTATCACCTGTGGTTTCTACTTTTCCTTTTTTTTAAAGACATAATTTGGAGATACTTAGGGAGTAGTTTACATCCATGTGAGTGTTTATTTTTCCTTCCAGCCAGTTTCTTACAGCTATTTTTTATCAAGTCTAATCCAATAGCCCTTTGTCATTTTTCTTTATTTTTATGTTGCTTTATCAGGTAAGTCATTTAGTTGAATTTTAATAAAAGTAACTCTTTAGAGAATCTTCATTTTAGGAACTAGTGAGTTTTGGCTTTATTTTTTAGGCATCTCAACTTGAGTGTAAGACCCAAGCAGTTACCATCATTAGTGAGAAATGGGGTCCCAGAAGCTCTTCGAGGAGAAGTCTGGCAGCTTCTAGCAGGCTGTCACAACAATGACCACCTGGTGGAAAAATACCGAGTTCTTATCACAAAGGTAAAGACACAATGCTGCATCTTCACTATTAATCCTTTTCAAGATTTTTTTTAATAATGACATGTCATTGTGGTTATTTAACCTCCAGAAAGATTTCTTTTGTTTGCTCAATTGTTTGTTTTATAATATATCTAAAATAAGAATATAACTGGCTAAAATAAGAATACTTGCCAGGCACCCATGGCTCACGCCTGTAATCCTAGCTACTCAGGAGGCTAAGATCTGAGGATCAGGGTTCAAAGCCAACCCCAGGCAGGAAAGTCTTTATCTCCAAGTAGCCACCAGAAAACCAGAAGTGGTGCTGTGGCTCAAGTGGAAGAGTGCTTGCCTGGAGCTGAAGAACTGAGGGACAGCGCCCAGGCCCAGAGTTCAGGCCCCACAATCAACAACAACAACAACAACAACAACGAATACTTCTGGCTGAAGATGTGTCTTTTGTAGCATAAAAAAGAAGTGCAAGATTTTCTTTCTTGATTTATTGTACCTCAAAGGTAAGAGATGTCCTCTAACCCATTATGCATCTAAATCCTTACTAATTGTAGTTACATTTTGGTCAGAGAAGTTGTACTATTCAGTATATAAATTTTTTTTTTTTAATTCTTGTCATACTTGACAGAAATGTGCTTTTGGTAGAAGAGGCCTAGTTCTTATTGATGCGGTTGTTCGAGATTAATTCTGTAGTCTTAAACTGTATTCCCTTCTAGCTTATTCCTCTAAAGAAAAAAATCCTTGTTTTTACCATATGTTTCCTTCCCAGTTTGCAATGTTCTTCAACCAAAAAAAAAGAAAGACTTCTTTGTGCAGCATATAAACTTTAAAGTAGTTTTCTTCAAAGTTGGGCAGTATGTTATGCATTTAGGTATCCATGTTACTGGTTTCAGCTTTAGTATTCTTGAATTCCTGAAATGTTTGTCAATTAGGAAGTAGTTTTTCCAATGGTATATAATCCAAAACATGGGTTATAATAAGGTATTGCTCAGGCTGCTTAAGAAGAATTGAAAATATTTCTATATGATAAAATGAAGCCTCTTAAGAAAACGTTAAAACATAATTAGGGATAAACAATGTCTTTATAAAGCTGGTATTTAGTACAAATATCTTATAATGGAACAATATTTAAACATAAGATAGGACCTTTCTTCACCAGAAAATGGTTGGTTGTTGTTTTTTTTTTTTTTAAGAAAATTTTGGATTTGTAATACTATCTTTCTAGATCCTTTTGAAGTCCTTGGAAATGTTTGAACAAAATTATTTGAGACTTTAATACTTTAAGTTCAAAATTTTAGTCCCATAGATACAGAATCATATACTTTGTATACAGGAACATTTAAAGTCTATCATCCACATATTTGTTTTTTGGGTTTATCACACTCAAAATGATGGTTTGAATTCCATGCCAGGTTCTTGCTGATGACATAAATTCATTAATGATATAATTTTATTTTTCTTTATGTCTTTGTAATCCATAATATATGTGTACCAAATCATTTTTTTCTTTTTTTCTTTTTTGTTGCCTGTCCTGGGGCTTGAAGAGCCTGGCTAGTGCTCTTCCACTCAAGTCATGGCTCTGTTTTATTTATTTGTTGTTGTTTTTTTATGGTCAATGGGAATTAAGAGTCTCAACTTTGAAACAGGATCCTCATATCTCTGCCTTCTGAGTAGCTAGGATTACAGATGTGAGCCACCAGCACCTGTCTAGATTGTATCATGTCTTTTATTCATCTGTGGTTGGGCATCTCAGCTGATTTCACCATTTTGTTGAGTTTATTATTTGAATTTTCTTCTCCTTCACTATTACTTGTCTGTTGTGGAGTTGTTGGTTTATACATGAATTTAGTGATATTTCACTGAGATCTTGCATCCAGGTCCAAATTTTGATTGAAATTTCAATTCCCTATGCCCTTTTAGTTGGTGATTTCTCACAGGTTACTTAAGACTGCATAGTGGTAGCATTGTGGTATATTTTCTTGTTACTACATCATAGGAGTGTGCCTAAAAACAATTTCAGTACTAAAGACACTATATTCAGAACTCTTCTCCAGTCAGGATGAGGAAACATAGCTACAAATGTATTGTAGTTGATAAGACACAACTTTGTGTTTGTAGCAGTTCTTTTTTTTTGGGGGGGGGGGGCTAGTCCTGGGGCTTGAACTGTGGCACTGTCCTTGAGATTTTGTGCTCAAGGCTAGCACATTACCACTTGAGCCACAGCTCTTCTTCTGGATTTTTGGTGATTACTTGGAGATAAGAGTCTCTCAGACTTTCCTGCTTGGGCTGGCTTCAAACAGTGATCCTCAGATCTCAGCTTCCTGAATAGCTAGGTTTATAGGCCATCAGCACCTAGCTTCAGCAGTTCTTAATGATAAGCAGTCACTACTACTCTAATGCCTTTAGATGACTATAGAAGCAAGATTATATCTTCATGCTGTATGGGGACCTTAATTAACCAGAGTAGAAACTGGGAGAAAATAGCAAGGAGAACACTAATGAATAAATACTAAGTATTTAGGTTCTGTTGCTGCTGTTGTTGTTTGTTTTGTTAGTTGTAGGGCTTGAACTCATGGTCTGGGCACTGACCCTGAGCCTCTTTGTGCTCAAAGCTAGTGTTCTACTACTTGGGCCACAGCGCCACTTCCGGCTTTTTTCTTTTTTGCTTATGTGGTGCTGAGGAATCGAACCCAGGGCCTCAGGCATGCAAGGCAAGTGCTCTACCACTGAGCCACCTTCCCAGCCCCTAGTTTTCATTCTTATAAGTAAATACTTTGCTAGTTTTAGTGGTGTCTGCCTGGGTCTCAGCTGCATGGGAAGCTGTGGAATGTGAACTGTTTGTGCTCATAAGTTGGAACTAGCCACATCTTGTTGGATTAGCCCCTTTTATTGAATGTAGCTCCTACCCATTCCCTCCTATAAAACTAATTATTGCTGGGTGCCAGTAGCTCACACCTGTAATCCTAGCTACTCAGGGGGACTGCGGTTCGAAGCTAGCCTGGGCAGAAAAGTCCCTGTAAGATTCTTATCTCTAATTAACTGCTCAAAAACTGGAAATGCTGAGGGACAGCGTGCAGGCCCAGAGTTCAGGCCCCACGACTGGACCAAAAAAAAAAAAAAAAAGAATGAAAACTAGAAAAATATAGCCCAAGTTTTGTTCCTTCCTTTCTTTCTTTTCTTTCATTTGTCCTTTCTTCCTTCCTTTCTCCCTCCCTTTCTCCCTTCGTCCCTTTCTCTTTTTCTTTTTTCTTTGAAGATGATATTGGAGTTCCAAATCAGGGCCATGTGCTCGGCAAACAGATGCTGTAAGCCGTGAGCCACACCCCAGTCCATTCAGCTGTGGTTACTCCTCCTTTGCCAGGGATTGGCTTCAGATCACAGTGCTCCTACGTAAGCTTGCCTTGGAACTTGGATTGTATTTGTGTGCCATCACACCCACATTTCTCACTAACTTTTTTGTAGGGTGGCTTTTAACCATGTTCCTACCAATCTCTTTAAAATGTCACAATTTAAAAATATGTAGCTCTATGAAATTTTACATATAAATATACTGCTATGGCAATTATAAAGAGCTAGGTGTACCTATCACCTCCAAAGTTATTCTACCACATGAGCCACAGCACCACTTCTGGTTTTCTAGTGGTTGTTTGGAAATAAGATTCTCACAGACTTTCCTTGCCCAGGCTGGCTTTGAACTGCTAATCTCAGCCTCCTGAGTAGCTAGGATTACAGGCATGAGTCACCGGCTCCCTACCTAGTTTTCATTCTTATAAGTAAATACTTTGCTTGTTATAGTGGTGTCTGCCTGGGTCTCAGATGCAGGGGAAGCTGTAGAATGTAAATTGTAATAATGTAAAATATATCACATACTTAAAGATGTCTCTTATTTCTATATGCACTGGAATTAATTTGGCAGCACTCTTCTCCCATTTTCCTTTTGAAAGTGAAAACTTTCTAGCTTTGTCATTTCATTGGGGATCCAGGAGAGAGACAATGCAACCACAACACCCAGCTGTGTCAGGTGTTTTTACGCAAAGCACTTTTATCCATTGTCTGTTGACTCACTGGATTGTAACTATACTTAAGTGCACTCACTAGTAAAGTATATAGTAGAGACTGGATTTGTCTTTAATAATCTTTGACTATAGTAAAAACTTTTTGTACAGAAATGTGTGCATACATAAATTCATGGAAACATGAAAACATATACCTGACTTTGCACATATTTATTTTATTTTAAACTTTGTTCTTTCTTTCAACCATTTTCCTATTGGCAGTTCCTTACTTTATTTCTAGTTTTTAAACATGAAATAGTGTATGTATTGGGGGGGAGGTGGAGGTTGTGTGAGGTTTTGTTTGTTGTTTTTGTTTTTTGTCAGTTGTGGGTCTTAAACTCAGGGTCTGAGCACTGTCCATGAGCCTCTTTGTGCTCAAGACTAGCACTCTACCACTTGAGCCACAGTGCCACTTACAGTTTGGGGGCTGGTTAATTGGAGATAAGAGTCTCATAGGAACTTTTCTGCCTGGGCTGTCTTTGAAATGTGATCCTCAGATCTCAGCCTCCTGAGTAGCAAGGATTACAGGTGTGAGCCACCAGCACTGCAGCAATAATGGGGTTTTTAAATATCACTACACACATTAGAAATCTTTGAGTTGTACAGAATAGCCTTAGCATTTAATGTTTATTTAATTTTGTATTCATTTATTTACAGTTTTCTAAAAGTTCCACCAGCAAGGTACATATTGACTCAAATCCTAACCAATATTAGTTATCTCTATTTTTGAATTTTTGTTATTACTGGATGCAAGTGATGCCAGTATATCAGTAGTTCCCTGACTAGTCATAATCGAAAGTGATTTACTCCTCCATGGTAAGGTCCATTTTTCATACATTTTTTTTCTATTCACAAGTTCAATTTCTAAGCACTGTATATAGTTGTGTATTCATCCTTTGCATCAGCAGTATAAGTATCTTGTTGTTTTTTTTTTTTTGAGTCCAGTCGTGGGGCCTG